TATATATATAAACGAAAGGTCGTTGGTTCAATTCCGAAAAATCAACAAAAATGTGTGGTGGTTGTTAAACCCGAAGGGGGTAGAAATAGGGCCGGAGAAAAAAGAGATTTATATGAATTTATTTATTGATATAAATCTCTTTTTTTAAAGGGTATATATTTACCGGGAAATGTATACATTTACCGATTGTGTACTTATTCGTAACATATATAAAGCTTTCCAGTTTAAAAAGCTGAATTGATAATAAAATATTAGATATTTTTTTACACTTTCAATATATGATTAATATCATCATTTGTAAAAATTGCGTCATGCAAAGATAGATTCGGCTACAGAGTTAACAAAGTTCAAAGTGTTTATGTTTTCAATTATAACTAAGGGATAGCTAAACAGAATAGCGAAATTGAACAGTGATAAAGTATTAAAGTGAATAGTATTAAAAGAAAACATCATAGAAACAGAACATTGGAAAAAAAATTGATTAATTTCAATAATAATAATAACACAAATAAATATATTCATCTGTGGTTAATGTCCTGGTAGATTCAAAAATTAAAGAATCGATATATAATATAAAATATTCATTCATCTTTAATGTACATAACATTACCACAAACACAAAACAAGTTCTGTTTGATTTTTCAATTCGTGGAATCAGATAAAAGTAATATTACTTTGTGATGTCAGTTGCATAACTATAATTATAAATAATTTAAAAAATCATAAACATATCAAATTTTTTACGACTAAAAATTAAGAATATTACGGAATTATTATTTTTAATTTAATAAAAAAAAATATATTTTTTCTTATTCATTTTATTGATCCAAAAATCTAAAGTAATGTAATTGCCTATCCTGTATTGTTATTTGAGTTCTTGTAATGTCTGTTTGTAAATAAGTTTTAAATCATTATTTCTGTATGAATCTTATAGCAACTATGAGATGGAGTGCTTGAGGTGTAGATTGTGTGCTTTAGAGGCACCCAGTTTGATACACATTGAAGAGGATTTTGGAAATCAAGTTTTAACCTTATTTCATGTACAAATTGGGGGCCCCAATGATAGACTTTCATGTTACGTTTGCAACACTTGCATGAACACAGTTAATGCCACTTGGATATTTTTTGAAAAAGTACAGAGGGCTCAGCGGGAGTTGATAGAAACTTTAACAATTGTTCAAAGTTCAACCAAGGTAATTGAAGATTGTGTTATAAATAACACAAAATTGAATGCAACAGAAACTCTTCTGGATGTTGTTATTGATAACAAAAATGAAACTGAAGACAAATTATTTACTGGTAAAGGAAGAACAAAAAAGACAAAATGTCGAAAGTCAGAAGAAACTGATGCACTGTCTGGGGCAAGTGATTGTGAACAAAATGAAGATGGAAGTCTTATAATGCAAAGGAATCTGGCTGGATGGGAGAGTTATCCTTGGGCATGCTGTGATTGTGGTCAAAGTGTACTTAGCTGTGAGGAATTGAGGGATCATTATATTGTAATACATGGCCAAAATAACAGGTGAGATATTGTGTAATAATTTGATGGTATTATTAAAATAAGCCACTAATAATTTTAGTGGTTCAAGATTTGCTTGTGCAGATTGTCCAAAAATCTACACAAAATTCACCATGTTTTTAACACATGTTAGAACTCACAGACCCTACTTGAAATTCTGCTGCGATGTATGTAACAAATGGTTCCCAAGTGCCAAAATTCAGGAGAAACATAGAGCTGAGCATATGGATGAAAGACCATACCCTTGCACCACATGTGGTAAACGATTTCGAATGCAGTCAGCATTGTTGGTCCATTCCAGGTCCCATTTACCTTTAGAATTGAAAAATCGCTATCAATGCGACCAGTGTCCAAAGCGATTTGGCACTCGACCTAATTTGATGGCACATAAGAGAATCCATGCAGGCGTCAGAGATTTTACGTGTGACCAATGTGGAAAAAGTTTCGTACAAAAGGGTAATCTTGATAATCATTTACTAACTCACACAGCGGTTCGTCCATTCTCTTGCTCGACCTGTGGAAAGTCATTCAAAACTTTGGTGAGATTGAGGAAACATGGTACAGTACACTCCGGTTTGAAACCCCATCAATGTGATGTTTGTGGACGACAATTCAGAGAAAGAGGCACTCTGAAAGAACATCATCGCATCCATACTGGAGCTTTGCCATTTACATGCGAATTTTGCGGCAAAAGTTTCAGGTATACAAATCGGATTTTTTTCTATTACCTTAATAGTGCATTTTTAGAATGGTACATTTTGTTTTTAAAATCCATCTTCTGTATTTTTATTTCTAATTATTGTTATTAAAATGGTAATACCCTATTAAAAACTCGATAATGCAAACAAGACATTCGAATTTGCAGCTATTATATTAGAATGTAGTCCTTTTTGTTGAGTCTAACATTTAGAATATTATGTTCCTTACTTCTTAGGGCATATATTATGTGTCATAGTTGTCCCTTGTATTAGCGTTGATTCTTTTTTTTAAACATTACGACTATATTTCGACCCACCTCAGTAGATTTTTATTTGGTCAGTTTCTAATACACCATTTCACGGACTAGTCCGTGTTCACTATATATATATCTATATTTTTTTTTCAGATTTAAAGGAGTTTTAACAACGCATCGTAGACAGCACACTGGCGAGCGCCCCTACTCTTGTCTGGAGTGTCAGCACCACTTCACAAATTGGCCTAATTATAATAAGCATATGAAGAGAAGACATGGCATCAATACAAGCGTAACAGTTCGCAAACCACAAACAATTCCACCGACTGGTATGCCGCAGAGGAATCCTCCAGGTTCGGTATTGGCTCCACCACAGCTGCCGGAAACCCACTACGGCCATCACGAAACCCATTCTTTTTATCCTGTACTAAACTTGTACAATATTACAGATGATTTAATGCAGCAGAGAACGGTGCAGTAAGCAACGCATGCTTGGTGCAGTTTTTATTTCTTAATGTTTTTAAAAAATATAATTTTTAATCACAGCAAAAGGCAATATGCAATATGTGATATTTTTATAGTCTACATCAGTACGTGCTGCATACATATAATTAATTTACAACGATGGCCAATGCTATTGAACATAAAGTAATTGATAGATATTATGTCTATTATCAATATAAGATTGAATTGTGTTTAGTTATATGGAGTCAGGAATTTTTAAAGATAGGACATACATGTACTACAATCATAGTTCGGAAAACGGTTTGCTTTCAATTGGCTCCGCATTTTACTAGTGAGAGCCGGTTCATAGATTCAATCAACAGGATGTTGTTATGTTATTCAATAACTAATATTTATTTAATTAAAATGTTCAATATTTTTGGCCATTGACACCTGCATCTCTGTATATTTAATTTACTTAATTAATTTTAATAAAATACAAATTCAATTGTCTCGTATCTTTACTTCTTTACATTGTTTTAGCATATTTAACAGCATTACATGAGGCTTAGGGACTGACCTATTGTTGACACCAAAGAAACAACAAATATAAGAATAGGTGTTATAAATGATATGCAAAATTAATTTTAACATAGAAAATACTTTATTGGTCTCTTTTTAACATATGCACTTACAATATAATAAGATGTAATGTCTATAAGTTATAATTATTGTTAAATCATCTGGGTTGGTCTGGTTCTAATGTATATGTAGGCAATAATAAGAACAGCCACAGCGGCCAAAGTGGGCAGAACTATTGTGTACATTTGTTTCTGTGAATCAGCAAACTCCTTTTTTCTCTGCTTTTTTTCTTTAGCAGTTTCCTTGGCCTTGCCTTTTAATTGTTTCATCTATTCAATGGAAAATACAAAAAAATATGTATTAAATCAATTAAACTAGTTAGAATATAATCTACCTACCGTTATTGATGTTTTATAGGTACACAAATATTTTAAATAAAAAGGTAATTTGAAAATGAATAACCAAGGACCACTTGCTGACGTACCGCTAGTTGCAACTACAAATAGGTTATATACAAAGCTTGACAACGGTCCACGTAGCAACGAGTAGGTAGGGAAGAAACGCAAAATACGAACGGGAATTTAAATAATTTATTTTGGAATGCCATCTCATACAAAGTACATCAAAACAATGACAACAATGAGTAATGTAAGAACAATCCCTCCAATTAAAATAAACTTGTCCTGTCCTGCTCTCCTCTCAATTAGTTTCATAACATGTGTACTCAAACCCAAAGTGCTTGCCATATCCATTATTCGTTTATGTGCCCCTTTCAACACATTTCTCTGTGATCTTAATGATTCAAGAGCATTAGCTCCAGTATATAACATCTCATCAACACCTCTATGAGCTCTGTCCATAGCACCATGATGTTGTACAGCATAATCCAAATCAATTAAAGTTGATTCTGGATTCGCTCTGAACCTAGTGCTGAGTAATTCTTCTCTTTGTGTTGCTGCCAATTCTTTTCGATGTCTTTTCTGCTGAGCAGCAGCTAAAGCTGCTTGTAAATGCTTGCTATCATATTTCAATTGGTCACATCGCATTTTAGCATGTGGTCGTTGTCCTACTGTCACTTTCATAACTAATATATCCAAAGTCTCACAATTCCTATAAACAAAGCCATTAGTGTATAAGACAATATAAGGATATATAAAATAACTTACTTATTAATTGTGTTAATATCATCTTGTATTGAGTGTTCAATATCTATAGAATTAACTCTGTTACATTCCAATTCTTTGAATTTACTTTGTGTTTGTTGAATTAGGGCGTTCGTTTGATGATAAAGGGTCTCCATTGTTATTGTATCGTTAATACTTGTCTATGTCCATAAGCCATTTAAAAATCAAATGCAAGATGCTTCCATTGACAACTCAGCTGTTATGGCTGAATTATTGCATACTGTTGCATATATTGAATACAGATGTTATGTTGGTTACATACCAGATTATAATTAATACATGTTACAACGTGGTGATTATTATATTAATATGCAATGGAAATTAGAATCCAAATTTTAATTTTTTGCCACTGTATAAGCAATTACTATCTATTTTCAATATACATATGTATATAGTAGGTCGGCAACTGGTGGTTCACTAATCACTGGTTGTTTCTAAATGATTTTTGGTGGTCCGCAGAGTAATTTGATATTCTACAATTTGAGTTTAGTAAGGTCCGTAAGGTTGATGACGGCTGAGGTTTCACACATGACATTCACGGGGGTGCTTCTCCTGAACATATGTTTAGTCATAACTAGGGGTCGGCAAACTTTTGAGACAGACGGACAACAATTTAAAATTTATTCGATAGTCATAAATACAGTAGCGAAATACACAATGAGGCCAAGCCAAGACATTTTTCTACAGTGTTTAATATTTTGTTCCTAGAGGCATCAACTATGATCAATAAAAATACATAAATATATTTGTTTAACATGTCGACTTTTTTTATAAATTAAACTATGAGAGTTCTATTTTCAATTTTATTGATGTTTCAAATTTATTTTAGAGCCAGATGTAAGTATGCAAGAGCTGATTTTTGTTCGAAATACAAATAAAAATTCAAGGATGTATTGAAACCCATCCAATACATCTAATACATAACATGTCAAATGGAATTGAAAATAAGTTTAGTGCTATTAATGTTTTTATTTAGATAAAAAAAACTTAAGATATTACTATAATATTTTCAGTATTTATCTATCTATACGATTTAAAACATTAATGATATTATGTAATAATTATCCTTTAATAAATTTAATTAAAATTATAAAAATATTTTTTTGTTAAAATACTATTTTTAATTTATATATTTCTATATAAATATACTTGTAAAGTGAAATTTTATAAGGAATATAGTTTTTTTATTACTTTGTAAGGTATATTGACGTGGAAATTAAATAATTTAGTTAATATCAGAAGTGACCATGTAAGTATGTATGTATGTCTTTTTTAGATATTTGAAGTTGCAAAAAATGTGTTAGTTAATAAACAGTCAATGGATTTTAGATATGAAATCAATAATGAAATATTTAAAATCCAAAGGTCGAATATTTCTAGGCTGATCTTCACGTTAATGAATATTTAAACATTAAAAAAACAGTTTAATGGAGTGATTGGGTGCGGAGATGAGTTTAATATCCATACTGAGTTAATAAGAGAGGAGATTAGAAATAAAAAGATGAGTTCTCGATATATGGTGTTCTCACCCTGATCCGCTTTCGCAAAACGAAAACCTTGAAAAGAGGATCCCCGTGTGGGTTCATTATATTACAATTATAATTCCCCTTCTGTTGAGAATCTGATAAAAGAAGAACGCATCTCGCATTCTCTTCTTTTTTTGTGTAAGGAGATCAAATCTTTATATATTTTTTTGCGTTCCTTCTCACCTCATGAACAATTTCATAATTGTATTATATTGCATAAATAAAATGTGTTTTTGGGTCACGCGATCAGAAGTGGTATTTCGATTTTCTCCCGTTTTCAGACAAAAATTACGCAACTTTACATATTTGTTTTTTCTCTCGACTCACTTTATGTTTAGTTTTGATACGTTAGAATTTGATAAACAAACCAAGATCGAAATCCGGAGAATTCTTTTGTTTTTTTTTTCGTCGTTTATTCTGAAAGTGAAAGTGATCACATTGTTTCTGTCAAAATCACGGCCAATCCGGTGACCGCCACCACCTGTTATCACCTATTAGATAATTAATATTTATTCGCTTGTGAAACACGATTTGGTACCACATTCTTTGGGCTACACACATTTTATTTAACCTACTATCAAATTTCTCGATGTATTTGTGATCCCATTTAGGAATATTTTGATTTTTATGTTTGTTTATTTTTTAACCATTCAAAATAGAAACTATTATTTAAATTAACTATTTTATTACGAAGATATTTGACAGACGGTGTTAATTGTTATTTGTCATGTCATTTTTAATATTATAGTTTATTTTATAGTTTCGTAAAATGTTCAATCATATGTTACTTTTTTGACGAGGAACAAACGTTCTTATTGGTATTATTAAATAACAAATATTAATCACAAGAGGAAAACATTGAACATGTATTGGAAAAATACAACATTTACTAATAATATTGTCTTGTAATAATTATGTGATTCTTTAGCATTTCCAATAGCGAAATTTCTCAGAGATACAAATGGAAAATCTTAAACAATATTTCTATACACTTTCTATTTATTAATTTAGTTACAATTAATGCTTGTTATAAACTCGTACACAAGGTGACTTTGACTGCAGTGTTTTCGTTCTTACCGATATAGCATCGATTATTATAAAATGTATGTTTTATAATTTGGAAATATTTTGGTCAATTTTGTTAATAATTATGTAATTCGTAAAGTAAGTAACAGAGAGTACTCAATATCTCACTACATGTGTTTTCTAAAAAATAAAATACAACAAAGAAGGTATATGCTGTATATGGAGATGCGGATGTGTACGTCAAAATTAGTTTGCAATTGATTCTTGTACTCAGAAAACTAGGAGGTGTTGGAATCATGAAATTTTGAAATTACCTGAATTTAATACGAAAATTCTGTCTTTTATTTGACCTAAAAATACGAAATTATAGTAAAGTTGATTTTATGTTCAAAATGTAACTCCCAACCTAGATTATTATGGTTTATGGTATATATAATCTAATATTGCAGTACAACTTCAAACTTAGTATGTTACCATATTTATAAATAATGATAAAAACAAGTAAATTTCTTTTTTATTATAACAGTCATAGCAAGACGGATATTACTGTCTAATCAAAAAGTTGAGAGTTATAGATAATTAATATTATTAACATTATAACATGACTTTCCTTTTGAGACCAACCTGTTTAATGATTAGTAAACAACTTTCGAGTTTCAAAACTGAATTTTCTTAATATTTTTTTTTTTCGATTTTTAAATTGTTCGTAATAAAGAATTCTTAAACAATAAATAACCTCACGGTACAAATAACATTAATAATATGCATAATACGTGTTTCTACGGTCGACTGTCATTGATTCCCAAATTCACACTGAATGATTTGTTGAATATTCATTTAAATTCGTTGTTTTCCTAGTATTGACATGCATATTGCATTTCATTACGCCACAAAATTCCAAGTACGAATTTTATGAATCGTGAATGAAAATTAAATGATAATTCCTTGATGCTAGCTTGCAATTTGCTCCTCGCATTATATACGAATGAAGAAATTATCTTGGGATGTATTGTGGAGAAAAAAATACGGTCAAGTGTAGAACCATTTGCAGAAAATCTAAAGTATCATTCTAATAGAACACTTAAATTCTGTCAAGGATCTTTACGTATTACATCCAATTTTCGAGCCAAAGGTTACATCCGAGTCGAGTATGTGAATTAATAAATACATTCCAGTAAAAAAAAAGATTAACATCCTATTACTTACAGCTAATTGCCACTAGTTATTTTCAATAACATTAGTTTATATTGTAAATATCATTCATGCAGAGTCAATTTGTTAAGAACCGAATAATACGGTAAAGCGCTACTCATCGATACTTAATACATATTATATTTTGATTAAAATATTTTCCTAGTATAGAGCTCAATGCAAACTAGTTATGCAAATTGTGACGCACGAATAAAGATATAGAGATGATGAGAAAATGGGGACGGCTCGGTTATATCTCATCATCAGAGAAGAAGAAAAAAACAACATTTTTGCATTCCTCTGAATTTTAAGTGATTCTATTAATTATAGATTATTTTAATGATTTTGAAGATTGTTGGATTGAAGGATGTATATTATAGCATACAATATTTATTGAAATTAATTCCTTCAATTTCATTTCTAGAAGTATTTACTTATATTGATTGCAAAATATAAAAATGTGCAACAAAATGTATAAAGCTTTTTGAATATTTTAAGGAAATTTTATTTTTGTGTTATTGCTAAAATTGCTTCATATTTATGATATATCTTTCTTTTCATCTCTCTGAATAATCATAATAAAAATTTCCATTTTATTTGTATGTTTTGTCTGATTAAAGTAATGGTTATGAGGTTAATGTAGACCAGTGGTTTCCAAACTTGATGTTACTACGCCTCCCATAAAAATATTTAATAATTTGGCGCCCCTCCTCCTCCTTCCATTTCATAAAATAGATAAAACTTTAGCAGTCATTTAGAAAAATGCTCACTGTGACTAATATTCGCGCCTCCCCTTAGCACAGTTTGGAAAACGCTGATGTAGACGTATTAATGTCTCAAGTAAAATAATATCAATTTTGGAGGATCCACATAACATTGGTTGTAATAATTAAATAAAGCAATGAAACAATTAGAATCTTAAATATACTTACTTTTGAAGCATATCTCAATTAAGTAAATGAACTTGAAGCTATTATTATTAAGGAGAATTTGAAAATAGATGAAAGTTTTTTCAATCAGTGTTATGTGAGAATTTATTGCAAAGAAGGTCGAGGAACTTAAATAACATTTCTAAAGCATCGTTAAAATTGATTTTGTGTATCTTCGAAATTTATTAAATTCTCAAAAAATATGTACATGTTAGGAAAAATTTCCACTTATGTTAATGAATATTATAAATACGATTTTTAAAATGTTAAAATTATAAAAATAATTGGACTCTAAAATTGGAAACTAAAATATTGTTTTGACAATTTTTGTGAAATCTATGAATCACCTATATTCTCACTCACGCCCAAATTTTATTGTTTATTCTGTGCCACTTCCGAAGAATAATAAAATGATTGACCTATTGAATTGTATTAATAGAAAAAAAGGAATTATCTTTACCTATTTAAGACATGTTACATGAAATACAAATACATTTATTATTATTTTGAACAGTTTTCTTTCTACAATGAAACAAACATTAAAAAAAAACATACCTATATTATTAAATTTAGTCGGTTACTCATTATAAATTATTAATTCATTCATTTATAGACAATGAATTGGATATTTTGAT